GAATGTAAAGACCATTGAGAGATTCTTAAGTAGCTGCTGTGCGACGCGCAAAGCAACCAAATTTTCAGAACATTTAGCATAACAGGAAGTAGATTTTGAGCTCAATCGGGGCAAAATAGTTTTTCGCAACTTTCTCCCCAAAAAAGCTGCATTAGCAGAAACTAACTATGGTTCGTTTGTTTACTAGCTAGGGCCAATCTATGGGCAAAAAATGAGCAAAATCGATTTTTCGACTTGTGCCGTTGTTTGGTCCATAGTTATGGGCACTGGCTCTTAATTATGTACCAGTATTGGTGCAATATTGGTTTATTGGAAGAGATATATGGAGAGACTGTTGCTAAGGTTAAATTTACAGCACTCGAGTAAAATCAAGTCTCTTCAAGTCGCCTTAAATCGCCTTAAGTCGCCTTAAGTCACCTAAAATCGCCATAAATCGCCTTAAGTCACAATGTTTTTTTGTGCCAATTTTTCTTAATCGCCTAAAGTCGCCTTAAATCGCCCAAAGTCACCTTATTAAGTTACGGCGACTTAAGGTCCCAGAGTAGGCCTAAAATCGTTATGAATTGATCACCGAAAATAATAATTTTAATAATTTACGGTTTTTGCAAAAGATCGTTTGGAAAGCTAATAAGGAAGTTTGTCACGATTTGAGAGTAATTACTTATTCTTTATATAAGGGTTACTCACCAAGCGTGTCTCCGTCTCGGTCCTTAAACACGCAAAAAAAAAACTTGGCCAATATCGAGCCTTCTAACAAGCTTGGTCAATAAAGGATTTATAACATATCTTTCGAGGAAATTTTTTTTGCAGGGCACAGCGAGTAGTCCCGAGCGGGCAAGATAGCGCCATCATGCCCGCTCGGGTAGCCAATCCCCAAGCCAATCACAGCGCAGGATTTGGTTCATCTTGCCCGCTCACGGAGCTAGCCAATTATGTAATAAAACAATCTATTCGATGTTACGCGCTCGTAAAGGGAATGAAAACAAAATATGACTTCTGCGTTTCATCTTTGAGCGAACCGTTGCTAAGATCAGTTGTTGTGTAAAGCAGAAGCTACGTTATTCTAGTGCTTTGGTACATCTATCTCAAGATCGGTGGGCTCAGTTTAAATTATTTGTTTAGTTTTTCTCTTCGCTTTGTTCTGTTTACATACCGCTCACGGCTTGCAAAGAAGAACTCCTCTAAATGACCAATCGAAGAAATTTCCGTAAGTGTATTATTTTTTTCCACTTACCTGATCCATTCGTCATCTGATAAACCTTGGCGCTCAGCGGACCTTCGCCTTTGATGGTGAACGCCAACATCTGAGTCGAGTAAGTCTGGAAAATCTTAAGGTTTGTGAACATGTACCAACGAACATCAGGTCCTACAGTTACATTCCATACCACCGGACCGCCGTCTTCCTGCTGAAGGAGAAGCCGATAGCCCAGAATCACGCCATTCTTGTGAATCAATGGCACGTCAATCCAACTCGCATTTAAAGCGAATTCGTTGGCCATGTGGAGATGTACGTGAGACGGTGGAGCAGAAGGGACTGTAGAAACAAAACGGTAAAAAATGTTACGTCTTTCCAAGTTTAAGAGGCCCTGCGCCTAAGAAACGACCAATGATTTCCGGCTAAAAAATAAAATCGGCCGATTTTTATCTCCCAAGTAGAGGTTACCAAATGCTATTTAAAAATGAATTTCTTTTGTTTCAATTTCACTTTAAACCAAAAATATCGAGCCGCAAACATTTTCTGTCTGATAGCAGCAAAATCAGGCCGAAAATAAGCCCCCGCAAAAAACTGTTCAGAAATTGCTATCGCAATGCAAAATAATGAGAAAACTACACAGTGTTGAAGAAAAAGGCCTTTTAATGCAATATCATT